TGCTTTAAAACGATATTCGTTCAACTAGAATTTCGTAGTCGATGCTCAATATTTTACAGTGTTGTATGTAATTCAGAGGGCGAAGTTAAATTGTCACGATTAGTTACCTTATGGTTATGGAGGGAGTATTTGTAGTTTCTTTGCAGGAATGGCATCCCATCCAATGTCTAAGAACCATCCAATCAAAAAAAAAATTTTTTTGTACAATTTCATTTCTTCATCCATTGAACTTGTACCATAATAGTTGGTTGTCACCTAATGGATTGTTTGTGTCCGTGTCCCCCGCCCTCAAATTCAGTCAATCTAAACTTTCCTGGCTAAATGATATGGCCTGTAAGTCATGCTTGACGGTGATGCCAATTTGAAATAAAATTATCAATCATCACATCACATGACTATGCCCTGTTGTGTGAAGGGAAAATTGGAGTGTACGAGCTCCTCATTTTCTTAATTGGTTGCTGATAACCTTTCACATTGATATGGAAGGAGCAATCGCGGCATAATTGACTTTTCCTTCTCAAATTGGTAAAAGTTCCTTAGCAACAAGATGGGACTCTTAACATTTTATGTTTTTTTTTTTTTTGCCAATATGGTCAATAAGTTGAGTAATTTTTTTCTTTTTCATTTTTTTTGGTGGGGTTTTTTTTGGGTGGGGGTGTTGGTAAGGGGTAGTAGTTAGAATCGCATGAAATAATGCCTGCACGGCAAAATAATTCACTTTCTGCCCCTACAGAGCTCATAGATGGGGATAAACGAGAAAGTCCTAACACAAACTTTTATAATTTCCGGCCAAACACCCCATATCTCATCTCAATGATTAAGGTATCTATCAATCATGAACCAAAAATTCTTGGAATCAGTAGTCTTCCCCTTGTCATCTTCATGGCCAATCACATATCATTTCTGAACCAGCCAAAAAAAAAAGGAAAAAAGAGCGAACTTATAGATCTTGAATGACAGTTTCCAAAAGATGAATGAGCCCAGAATCAGTAACAACTACATTTGAACGGGGAATGTGGATTGGGGAGGTAGATTCCATCAACAGCATATTGGTAAGATATAAATATACATGTGGATCGTTGATGATACAGACGAATTCCCCCCACCACCCTAAGCATCTGGATAAACAAGTAATAAGGCCTCAGGAGTTAATGTCAAAGACATGTGCATCACACATGAGAACGCTGGGAACTTTATCATGTAAGGTCAAACGAATCCCATGTGAGGTTGCATCAGACCATTTTCAGCAAAAAAAATTCCGTCATACTATTAAGGCATTGAATATGTTGGGTTCATTTCCCTCGCTCTGTTCCTATGGCTACTGACCTATATAGATACAAGTTAAAATAGAATATGAAAATGAAGCAATTTGGGGGGGGGGGGGGGTTGGATTGTGGATTTTGATCCATTCACGGCTCTTCTGTTGGGAGAAGCATGTGGGTGTGGACGGACTTGAGAGAGCAGAACATGGGAATTATTGAATGAGGTGCAGAAATTCTTCAGACTTTGCCTCGCGTATTATATAAAGAAAGAAAGAAAGAAAAATACAAAATGGGATTGAATCAATTTGCAGCTGTAAATCTAAATCCCATGTGAGGTTGTTGCATTAGAGGTTTCTGTCCTATTTAAACCCACATCTAACTCCCCGCTCTAGCCATTAAATACTTGTCATTCTTGAATATCTTACCCCAATCTTCTTCCTTCTTCTCTTGTAGTTGTAAGGTGTGATCAACATGGAAAAAGTGGGATGCTGTGCAACTCTGGCATTGGCTTTCGTCTTAGCTTGCCTTTTCGCCAATAATGCCAATGCCTTCACAGCTTCGGGATGGATGAGTGCTCATGCAACATTTTATGGAGGTAGCGACGCTTCTGGTACAATGGGTAAGTTACGAAGCAATCTCTTCTCTTATTTTGTACCGACCGAGTTACACTTGACATTTTCTAACTGGGAACACTGGCTCGGGTGCAGGGGGTGCTTGCGGATACGGTAACTTGTATTCCGCTGGTTATGGGACTAGGACTGCAGCATTGAGCACTGCATTGTTCAACGACGGGGCATCCTGCGGCCAATGCTACAAGATTATCTGCGATTACAACGCAGATCCACGGTGGTGCAGGAAAGGTGTATCTATCACCGTCACGGCAACCAACTTCTGCCCTCCTAATTATGATCTTCCAAGCGACAACGGAGGCTGGTGCAACCCTCCCCGGCCGCACTTCGACATGGCTCAACCCGCTTGGGAAAAGATCGGTATCTACAGAGGTGGAATCGTTCCTGTGCTGTACCAAAGGTCGGAATCTCTTCTTTCATGATTCATTTTTTTTCCTTGTCCTTGTCCTTGTGGAGTGTGGGGTACTCAAAGAAAATGTAACGTTTTGTGTGACGCAGAGTTCCCTGCAACAAACATGGCGGAGTTAGATTTACCATCAACGGAAGGGATTATTTTGAACTCGTCTTGATATCGAACGTCGGTGGACCTGGATCGGTAGCATCAGTTCAAATCAAAGGCACCAGAACCAGTTGGATGGCAATGTCTAGGAACTGGGGTGCCAATTGGCAGTCCAACGTCTATCTCAATGGCCAAGCCTTATCCTTCAGAGTAACTACGTCTGATGGTCAGACCAAGGTGTTTCCAAACATCGTCCCATCAAATTGGAACTTCGGCCAAACGTTTTCCAGCCCGTTACAATTTTACTAAGCCTGGAACCCCCTCCCCTATCTTTCACCTCTCTTTCCCCCCCCCCCCCCCACAAAAAAAAAAAGAGAAAGAGAGAGGGGGGGCTATACGAAAGAGTTCTGGGTTTTTTCTTTTCTTTTATATATATATATATATATATATATAGATATATTTTTGGAGGTTTTCGGTAGGCAGGGGCGTGCTTACTATTTGACTGAAGCAGCCCGCCAATTTTTTTTTTTCACGCAAATACAACCACGCCATTAACAGCATTGAGCTGAGGAGGAGGAGGAAATTGAAGTTTTTTTTTTTGGGTTTGATCATTGATGGGAAGAAAACCCATGAGATGAACTCGACAAAAAATGGCTAGTATATATATCCTACGTGTATGTATGTACCTAGACCTAGTCAAAGTCGCTTTAGTATTTCCTACTCCATTGGTTGGGGACTGAAGGTACTTGCCAAGTTACTAAAACACAAAAAGTTGATAAAAGGAGGTTGTACTGAACCTTTTACTTTTTTCTTTGATTGATGATATGCTTTGTCATATGAACACTTAATAAAATACTATATACTTTCTTCCATTCGCACTTCAATTTATTATTATTCACTTCAAGTTTTAAGTTTTTTGGTGTCGGTCAACCAAGTTCTTGTGTTCTGCTGAACTGATCTAAGTTGCCTAAATTGGTGTAGCAGTGGGTGTTAATAAAATTTTCCACTCCAACATAAGTTGGAAGTGCAAAAATGATGATAAAATAGAAATATTAATTTGAATATGGTGGGGGAGGAACATGCAAAAAAAGATGGGAGGATTAAACACGTCGACATTGAAATGTGCTTAATTTTATGCGAAATATCCCAACAAATCAAGAGCATAAATTGGCAAATTGTCTACTACTGGAATTACTTTTCTTTCCTCCTCTTCTGCTTAGCCCCAAATATGAATTAATTGGATTTTAAAGGGAAAGATTAAGTTGTTTAGTCGGAAAATAATAATGGGATCACTCCGAGAGGGCGTTATTTCAAATATTATTTGAAATAATTATTATAATTTTTTTTTTTAAATGATACGATGATATTTGTACAAGCACTAAAACGTGCTGGCTGTCCTATGTCGGTGGCTCCGTCTTCTGTAAGAAAATGCTGGGCTGGTGTCAGCTTTGTCCAACAGATTCCGCTGTAGCGTTCCAGTAGAAAGTTATGAGTTGGACCGGCCCAGGTTTCCCCCGAAACGTATGTCCATCATCATTACCGGTTTCCAGCAGGAGCCTTCTTAATTCTGCAAACCTTACTGACGAAAACAATTTAGTGCTATATTTTACCAACACCGGTTGATCTGAGTGGCAAGGCATTCGGTTTCTCTAAAGCAAAGTTTCGGGTTGGAGTGAATGGGGAGACAGTAGTGTTAGCTGAGAGCTTGCTCTCTTATGGGGTTCGTTCAACCTGACTCCACCTGGGATTAGTTACTTGGGGCCTAAATTAAAGCAGTGACTAGCAGATCGAAGGATATATTCTGAAAGTAGGTAGTGCTAGTAGAATTCACTAACCTTTTGCATTTGATACGTCTTCAGGAATTATTTTATACTAATGTTTAGTATATCAAGCCAGCATTTACAGGGTTTGTCACAACGAATTTTTCCTGTTGAAGAAGCTTTCGTTGCATCGAACATATGCAGCAGCCAGTCAAATTGGACATGTTAAGATACCTCCAAGAAGCTCGACTGCTTCATCAGATGCATATGGATATGATGATCACCGTTGGGATGAAAATAGTATATATTTACCGGAAAGAAGTAAAGTTAGGGCTCCGGCTACCAAGAAAAGGAAGTAAAGCAATTAAGATTTGCGAAACTCACCTTTATTTGTTCAACCTAATCCACCAAAGGGGACTTAATCTTCAAGTTGGTACTGTCTTTCTCTGGTTAGGAGTCAGAACTAAAAGGAGAAACTTTTACTACTATAAACTAATATGTACTACTCCAAATGCAGTACACCGTGCGCGAAGCTTTCTCGCAGATTTGGAATTGCATTCGTTGTTTTATTCGCGGGGGAAAAACAGAAGAAAAGAGAAAATGTGTACGCAGAGATGGAAAATGCTCGGGAGTTGACGTACAAGATTAAAAATTTTGCATGGGGCTTTGCGTTCATGTGGGAATATTTCTTCAGCAACTCTATCAAACATCCAGTGGTTCTAGCTCACCAAACTTGCCACTTAACGGTCTTATTCTATATCCACCAACAAACCTTTATTCAAATTCCTTCAATTCTTATTTCAATCTCTCCTCTTCGATCGCCTACAAATACAACCTACCATAACTTCAGCAAACCAAATAAGACTATCTACAATGGCAGGATTATTAAGGCTTAGAATGCTTCCGCTAGTTTTTGTTGTGGTATTATCTTGGGTGCTTTCTCCGTTTGCAGCTGCACTGAGCTCAGATTACTATGATCACACATGCCCGAAGGCCGAGTCAATCATCACCAAAGTAGTGAAGAAAGCCATGATGAATGACAAGACGGTCCCAGCTGCCCTGCTTCGGATGCACTTCCATGACTGCTTTATTAGAGTAATCTCGTCTTAATCGTGTTACTTTCATTTTCCTTACTGCTGATTTTGTCATGTCTACAACAATATTCATAGAATTTTGCTTATTCATCTTTGCTTTTGAAGGGATGTGATGGTTCTGTGCTGCTAAATTCGACTGCCATGAACGCGGCTGAAAAAGACGGACCTCCAAATATTTCACTGCACGCATTCTATGTCATTGACCTTGCTAAAAAAGAAGTAGAATCCCAGTGCCCTGGTGTGGTCTCTTGTGCTGACATACTGGCCTTGGCTGCTAGAGATGCAGCTGCACTAGTGAGTGCCACCGACTTACTAACTGCTTGTGTAGCTTGATTCTTGACAGCATTTCTTTAGAGAATAGATTAGTAGCTGTTTCACAAACATATGATAGCTTAAAAAAAAAAACAAAAAAGAATTGTAATAATATAATTCAGATACAACTTCTTCCTTAATCCTACCTGTTGAGTGTTGAGTATAACTAAATGACAAGTTGATGGGCCGTAATGTTTAGTTGTAACTTGTTCACATTTACATATTCTGTATGTTGATGTGGTGCATTGATTACACTCTCATTTGCTTAAATGTCGTAGTCCGGAGGGCCTTCTTGGAATGTGCCTAAAGGAAGGAAAGATGGCAGAATTTCGAAGGCCAGTGAAACTCGACAACTGCCTGCTCCTACCTTTAACCTATCTCAATTGCAGCAAAGTTTCTTTCAGAGAGGCCTAGCACTGGAAGATTTAGTGGCCCTTTCAGGTTAATTAATCCCGAATTAATTTTTCCTGTTTGTCCTCTTCATTAATTAAGATCACTGGCAACTTCCCTTGCAGTTACAGGAACACTAACACACACAAAATTAGCCTACCCATTAATTCTCAAAGTCCTGATCCAACCGTGGATGCATGCTTGCCCGCAATTCTCAAATCATGACTCTACTTGAAAAAACATATTTGACAGGAGGCCACACCCTAGGTTTTTCTCATTGCTCATCCTTCCAGAACAGGATCCACAACTTTGACACCGCTCACGATGTAGATCCCTCCTTGCAACCATCATTTGCAGCCAGGTTGAGGAATGTCTGCCCCATGCACAACAAGGTCAGGAGTGCGGGTGCCACCCTGGATTCCTCGGTAACCGCGTTCGACAACATATATTTCAAGTTACTCGTTCTAGGCAAGAGTATTTTCTCTTCAGATGAAGCCTTATTGACAGCTACAACTACAAAAACATTGGTCTCAAAGTTCGCTAACTCCCAGGAAGAGTTTTATACAGCCTTTGTCAAGTCTATGATCAAGATGAGTAGCATAAGCAGTGGAGGTGGACAAGAGATTAGGTTGAATTGTAGAGTTGTTAATTAGGTACTTTCTTCAACGCCGACTCATCATGTCAGCAAATCTTTGACTCGCCGTTTTAGTTTGTTTTCCCGGGGGTGGGTTCTGTAAATTTTATATTGATCTGTCTCCGAAGAAAGGTACAAGAAGAGCATATGTGTAACCGAGGCCAGTCTGTGTTCGTAGGCTTCATTCTTATTCCAATGTTCCCGATTGTTTCACAATATAAATTAAGAAAGCCTAATTGGCTAATTGTTTCCACTTCTATTGTTGAATTCTAGTACACTAGTACTACTAAATAATAAATAGGATTAACCGTTCTATCTGTTTATCGTCCAAATCTCGAGCGGGCCAGGAATAATTTAGGTGGAAAATTCTATCTTCGCCTTTTATTCCTATATCTATAATTGTAATCCAATAAACTTTTGCCCCGTTATTTAATAATTTAAATTTTTTAAATCATTTAAGAGTTGATATCTCTTTTTACGTATCTAACGATAAATTGATACTCATGAGTATCATATCCAAAAGAATTCTCCAATTTAGGTAACACTTTAAATGTGAAATAAAATAGTTTATATATACGCGGCTTCAATAAATTTTTTATTTTTTATAAGAAGCATTGTGATGAAATTCATTATGAATCTATACTAACTAGTACATCAAATATGGCATGGATAGATACTGAGGATTGTTAATACAGCACATCCAAAAAATTTAATAAATATAAAATAACATTGAACCCTGAAATGTCTTCCATTCAAAATGGCTTCAATATGTTAATAATTGATTTGGGTAAGTAAATAATTCAATGTAAATAACTTAGTCCTTCTTTCATCTAATATCTATTGTGATTAATTGCTTAAAAATTTATTTTTAATCAAGGATTTGTCTAACGGGTACCCATTGTATAGTTGTTAAGATATATTTCAAATGTCATATTTTTAAAATGTAAGATTAATTAGATATTCATCACAACTTCACAAGTAGCCAATTCTATACCTATTTGACCCAACTCCGACTAGACTAGTCCCTGCTAAGCTAGGCTTGCTCAACACAGCCCCCTGCCCAATAGGCAAAGAGCATCATCAACGTCCTTCAGCTACCGCCCTAAGAGCAGTTGGCCGTTAAAAAGTTCATCGCCCTCCAATTTCAATGACGGAGCTGAACGCCGACGACAACCTCCAATCCCGAGATCATAACATCAAGACTTCAATTCTCCAATCTCCTTCTCATCCTAATACATTCCAAAGCTCAGGAATTGAAGATAGTACTGATGGAGATATAGAAGACGAGGAGCTAAGGAGACTATTGGTTCCAAAAATAGAAGACCTTCCTCTCACTCCACCAACTGCAATTCAATCCAACTTCATCACATATTATGCCCCAGGTACATTTCTATTCCGTTTTGGCTTCCCTGGTTGAAAATTTGAACTGGTTTTTTATTTTATTTTATTTTTTGTTCCGAGTCTATGTTTTGCTTTTTTAATTTCTTTTCCTTGATTTATCTGGTCTCAGATTTTATGAAACCTGGGCATGATCAGTATGTTCATCGTCATGCTAATGGGTAAAACTATGATTTTTTTAAGCTGATGGGTAAAACTATTTAGCTTGTATTCAATTAGCATTTTAATCATTTTTTCCCATGCCGTTCTAAGAGTAGCTTGTGCATAGTTGGGTTAGCTTCAACTCATGTGGCTTTTAAGGACGAAGGAGGAATTACAGGTGTTGATTTCAATGTCGGAAAGGCTGATCGAAGTGGGATTAAGGTTACAGGAAAGCGGAAAAAGGTAATCTTGTGCAAATTTGTGATGACTCCTCTAAGCTTAGAAGGAAATAATGGAATTAAGTAACAAGTTAGCAATGCTGTTATATCTGGGCTTTGGTGTGTATAGTTTCTAATGTGGTTTCATTTGTTGCCTAGTTGATGAAATAATTGGAAAAGAACTTTTTGCCGTCCTTCCATTCGCTGTTAAGCTGCTTGCTTTGGTCGTAGACTCGTGCGGTAGGGGAAGGGAACACTTGGAGTGAGTAATGGACTTAGAGGAGGTAGGCAGAATTATATTTTGATTGAATTAGTTCATTAATTTTTATACATCCACACTGAGGGGGAGAGAGATTTTGTTTGTACCTAATTCATTATTGATAAGTCCAACACATCTAGTTCTACTGATCTTTGCATCTGGTTTTTAACTATGGAAGGACTAAAAGAGAGTGTGTACTTGGGTAAGAGGCTGAAAGAAAAGATATCTTGGTCTGATTAAGATTTGCAATAATAACCATATAAACAACTGTCCACTGATCTGCTGAATGAGGGAGGGGAAACCAGGATTACCATCTGAGTGTTGCTTAAGTTGCATGCCATCTAAAACTAGTGCTAATTTTCTGAGATGGTTGAGAGATAGTTTCTGTTGAACATCGGTGCTTAAGTTTGAAATTTTGCTCTTGTTTTCATGCATTCTGATATTCAATTTTATAAAAAGCATCATTTCAAACTGTTTTTGTGCAGAATGCACAACATTTTGAGTCCAATACAGCATTATGTAGAGTAATCACCAAGGATTCTTCTTACATTGTGAGGTAGAGTTTCTTTTTTCCTGTGTCATTTTTGGTCCTTCAGGTGTTCTATATAACTTTTTATACTCAAGTGAAGAAGGCAATACCTTTCTGTGACAGATGCTGCGTCAAAGGGTCTCTGTTGGAAGTAAATGAGAGATTAATGAAGCAACCTGGTTTGCTTAATTCATCGGTGAGTTCTATTATCTGGTTGTAGCTTCTAAAATATTCACCACAGAAATGGCCCAAAGATTTGTACGTATGTGAATTTGCATCATGCATTAGTTCTACTAATCTATGAGTAGCAATTCATCTCATCATATCTTCAAAAGGAATGGCACCAAAAATTTTTCTTCCATAAAGTTAATTACAGGCTTGGATTTTACAAACTTTAGTGATGCATTTGGTTCTATTTGTGTCCAACGCAGTTTAAGATTAAAAGAAGTCATGCTGAAGTGGTATTTGATCCTAATGTTTAGTTATTAATTTTGTAAGTCTGAACAACTACTCATCCTCCCTGATTGTACCAGTGAAGATTTTATCTGCCAAAAAGCTAGTGCTTCTTTGATGAAAAACTTATGATGCTTGTCAGAGTTGTATTTATGTTGCATAAAGTTTTTAGCGACAATTCCAGGCTTAGTCAGACCTTGGATTATGCTAGTTAAATTGGAAATGATTTCCAGGATTGTATGGACTTGCATGAGTGCATAGTTTAGAGTTGTGGAAGTAATATAATTCTTGATTCACGTGTATTATCTTATGTCCATTTGGCTCTGCTGCCCATAGAACTGCCTGAGAAATTAATAGTGATAAATCCTCTGTCTGCACCAAGTATTTGATCAGTGGAGCACTGCTATTGCATTCTGGCATCTCATATGGTGCCTGACTTATTTCCACTGACACAATGATGAATTTGCAACAGTAGTTGCTTGTGTGTCTAGATCTAGGAATTTACAAATTTTTATATACCTATTTACCTCGTTCATTTTTCCTCATTGCAGGCAGATAGGGAAGGATATATTGCAATTTTTATGCCAAAGCTAGTAGATTGGCGTAAAGTTGAGGCTTCTTTTGTTGGTGTGGAAGAGTATAAGAGGTTAAGAGGCATTTCTTGACTAGTATGTCTCCAGGTGGATTGGTAGGTGCCTTGCTTTAGTTAGGTACATTATTTGTTGATTTGTCCATTGTGCTTTCTAGTTTTTGCATTTCGAAATAATTAAAATCCAGTTTTTGAGACGCACGTAATTGCTTTCTACAAAATAATTGCAATCCTTATCCTTGTAATTTCTACAAAGCCTCATATTCTCAGAACAAAATATGTATTGAACCAAAGAATAGATGTTTGATAATTTCCACCAAATATCCTATTTACAGACAAGTGAAAAGAAGAAGGAAAACTAAAAAGCAGTTCTCTAATGTATATATCAATGTAGATGAGAGAGTTCTAAAGACAAATATGTTCAAGTCAAACAAGAGTTTGGACAACTAATAATATCTTTAAACTAGTTGCATGATTAGTCACTCTCATTGATCCAAGATTTCCTGGGATCACCTTTCACATTGCAGTCTCTCTCTCACGAAGCCAGGAAAAAAAATATAGTGATACATTAGTGCCGACTCGGCTGATCAAATCATTAAGTCAATATGTCTATTCCGTGAAATTCACTTGAGCACTTCTTTAGCATCCTGCTTCTGGAGTTGCCATTCTAATGTATCAAACAAGAAAAATACTTCAAAGCATCCCGGTGCCCCCACATTATGTATCCTGTCTAGAATAATAGGATTAGCCTACTTCCATTTGTTCAACAAGCAACCTTCTCGATCTGTTAATGTTGAGGATGCACAAGTATACATTCTCCTCAAGCTCTTCTAATTCATCTAGTACTCCGGTTTCGTTTATTTGAAACTCCCTTATGACCTCCTTCAGTAACTCATTGCTTCTTCTCCTAAGGCATAAATTCGCTAGGAATTTACTGTGTTCAACTTCATCATGTAACAGTGTCATAAGCCGACTCATTGTGTCAAAGTCATTGATGATTAAGTAGATACCTTTAGCAGCAGTGTCAAGTTGAGCTTCAAATCTTTCAAGGGAAGTTTTTGGAACCAGCCATTCTTTAGTCTGCTTGATCTGCTTCATACATGCCCCCAAGGAACAAGCAACTAGAGCTGGTGCAGCTACTATGCCTACTGCAGTATGAAGTACAAGTATTGGCAAGGCAATAGTCAATGCACAGCTTGCAGCTATCAGAGTACCTCTAGCAAACCTCTTGCTACATCTTATGAATTTTCTTCTCCTTCTAATCCTTTTAATCTTGGAAGTGAATCTTTGGAGTGCTGAATGGAGGTCGTCATGAATGTGTTGAAATTGAGCTTGGGTAATAGCGGCTAACGGGTTCCTGAGTAATGCAAATGAAGCCAGGTTCCTGTATAACTCATTTTGTTGGTCATCATCTGATATTTGTTCGAGTTGATTAAGCACCCTTTTCATTGTACCGTACTTAGCCCTAGTTTCATGAATGCTTCTCAAGATTAACTCACATGTTTTGCATGCCTCAGAGCTAATTTTGAAGAAACCAGATAGAATTTGATGAAGATCGTTTGCAGAGCCCTTATTGACATTCGTTGGAGTTTGTGGGCACGGTTCGAGCACACCTTGAGAGAGATGCTGTGGAAGAGAGGGAGACGAGGACAGTCGATCAATACTTTTTCTTGCCAACTGGCTTTGAACTTCGCTGCAAATTTCTATGTAAGAATTGGTCCTAAAGGCTTCCATGTATTCTTCATCGACAATATTTGACTTGTTCATCAAGCGATCATCTTGCGTTTTACCATTTCTACCTGATCATTCATCCAAGAAATCAACTCAGTAGTGTTAAATGAAAGAATTAAATACAATAAGATGACGCAAACATGAAGAGAGAAATAACATTACAATTCTCGTCTCCTGAAAGCTCATGAAACCTTGATTAATTGCATCTCTTCCTAATTGAAAATGGGAATGAAAGTAAAAGGCAGAGATGGCATATGAACTTACTGTTGTGTTTCTTGAAAAGGAACTTCAATCTGTCCGGACGAGACCATCTTTTCACAATCTGAATCATGTTAAGTATGCTAAGTCCAGAAGAGAGAATGAGAAAGAAAATCGAAAGCCTTGTCAGACGGCTGCGATATATAGGAAGGAATATTATTTATATATAATAATCCTGTATGATACTCTAGTTTTTTTGCCCTGTAAGCTTCTGGGTTTTACGACAATCACGCGTTAGCGTGAGCGTCTCTAACACGAATGCCAACTTCACCACCTCGACATGAATGAATGCATTTGAGGAATGGGGAAAAGAAGAGAAATAAAGAGCGACGATAGCAGTGCAAAGGAAGAAGTTTTTTTTTTTTTTTGGGTTTCCTGCGTTGCTTTTTCCTTTGTCTGAAAGAGTGTGGTAGCGTTGGCAACCTTACGTGCATTTACTAATTAGTCTTTAGCCAAAGAAGCTGAAATACCAATTTTCGACAAGAATTTGACTGATTTTTTTATTTTTTTTGGGGGGGGATAAGTATGTTGTCTTCTCCGAGGCTTCTGTGGGCTGACGCTAGTGCATTCGTTACCTGCATTTCAGACTCCTGAGAGTAGTTTTTTAACCTGCAAATATCTATCCTTTGATCAGCCCAGGCTTCAGACAAATTGTTAACAAGTTTCCCTTCTTACTTTCTTTCTTTCTTTTTCTTCTTCTTTTCTCCTTTTCTGGTCGAAACTTGAGGTTGAGAATAATGCAAAATCAGAATCGGTATCGTGCGTTGTTGGCTGAGTCAATCGGCCAGATGATTGTGTGTCTGATGACAAATTTTTCCATTACGTGTGTGTGTGTGTGTGTGTTTTATATGGATGAATAACTTGGCGGACGGGACAGGTTCTCTTAAATGATTTCACCTCAAATACATGCACATTCATGACGAGTGTTGGTAAGTTAGTCACTCCTCCTGTTGCCTGCTTCACCCATCCCCATTAAGAATTACATTACCCAATACATTTCCACTTTAAACCATCGTTACAATAACAGATGCTAGTCTAGTCGAATTATCACTAAATTTTTGCAATTGTCGAGTTTTGACTATTGAAATGTATAAAGTTAAGACTCAATATTATTCTGTTAGATTTAATCGTTAAATATGTCATCTGAGCGTCGATGTGATTTCCAAGACAAAAGAAAGGGAAGCAGTTTATGTGCGTTTATATTTCTATATAGTTGTGTGAAATTAAGATTGCATTGTTAGAGAAGGATCAGACGACTGTCAATAACATCCAACTTTTTTATAATTTATAACGATACATACATGGGTTTGTTTGGTTATTCTATTTTTTCAAATTATATTTCGGTTGTATCATAAACATATTTTTCAACCCACCTTTTTATCTCACATACATTACATCACAAAAAATGTTACAATAATTATTCTAAATAATATTTCAGATAACACTCTATTCAAACAGACCCATATCATATAATCCTACAAAAAAAAGTTACATATTAAAAAAATAGTGAAAATGTTATTATTTTTTTAAAAAACGAAAAAGGAGTAATCTGTCGTCTTTTAGCAATAAGTAATGAATCACCATTGAGTAGATTCGATTTTCAAAAATCTAATTGGCAGAATATCCAACCAAGTGCAGTACGTAATTAGTAGGCCATTTTTTTTTTTTAAGCTACCCAAGTTTTGATGTACGTAATTAGTAGGGTCAGCCAAGTGCTGTTTATACGTAGCGTTGTGGAAAGCTGCATTGACGTAGGCTAACAAATCCTGGGCAACGGGGAAGTGTAGGGTGATGATGATGAGATGGCGACCTAGTCAGCGGCAACATGGGCTGCACTTATTTATTTCCTCACCCAGTCATCTTTTGTTGGAGCAATTTTTTGTTGGAGCAATGAGTTGGCGGGTTGCTTCGAGTAGGGCTGGAGCTGAATCAAGTAGCTCGGCTCGAGCTCGCGAGCTACTTGGTCAGTAGCTCGAGCTCGAGCTCGATTGATCAAAGTCGATCTCGAACTCGAGCTGCCCTTTAGAACTATCGAGTTGAGCTCGATCTTGGAAATATAATACTCGAGAGTTCGACGAGCTCTATCGATCTTTTTATAATATATATTTTAATTTTTATTATTGTGAAATGTCAATAATATTCTTTATTTAAAATTATATATAAAATATTAATTTTTATTACTTGAGTTTGATTATGCTTGATTGAGCTCGAATAAACTCGATTGAACTTGATTTGAATTAATTACATTTAATTAAACTCGAGCTCAAGTTCCATAAATTGAGGTCGAACTCGAGTTCGAGCTCGAATTTTAAAAGCTTGACGAGCTCGAGACTTAGCTCGACTCGACTCGACATCACCCTTAGCTCCGAGCGGAGGAGCCGTAAGTGCTATAGTGCTAATTTAACAACCAAAGGCCCAAGATACACGAGAAACCTCACCTCATGATCCCATTTATTGGGTTCTTTTTTATTTTTGTTGGAGAATTTTATTTTTTTGGGGGATATTTGATACTAGTAATTGATCCAACTACCATCAAAAGACGTGTGGCTTGAACAAATCCAAAATAATACAAACACTACGGCTCCAATTGTTTTGGAAAATAGCAGTAGTAGTAGTACGGTACAAATGGAGAATCAACGAGACTTCGAATTGCCATGCCATCTAGTAGACACTAGACTAGACTAATAAAAAAGGGTGTTTTAACGACCCGGTGCAGCTTTAAAAAAAAAAAAAAAAACAACCCGGTGCAGCTAAGGCTGAATTTTTAAGTGGAACGGCTTTGCTTTCCGGCGATATCGATGACAAATCGGTACTTGACATCATTGTTGGCTAGGCGCTCCAGTGCTTCATTAATCTGGTCCGTCCGGACGACTTCGATGTCACACACGATGTTACGTTTGCCGCAAACCTCCATCATCTCTTGTGTTTCTTTGATGCTTCCAATTATGCCTCCTTTCACCACCCTCTTCCCTGCATTCACACTCGATTCGACATCAGAGGTATGGAAGAAGAACCCGACAATCTTCGGGTTGTTGAAGCTGGTAATGTGTAGTTGTAGTATAATAATATTATCCAAGAATGAATATGAATCCCCGGAATTGAATCAACATTTACGTGGAAGACATTTTTGGTGTTTTGTGATTGGCACTGCGCTTGAGTTGAATTGAAATCTCACCGAAAATCAGTGGAAAAGAGGGTAGTTCCATCGGCTTCTCAGGTGCCCCCACAATCACCAAGGTTCCTTTCACTTTCAGCAGCTCCAGCAAGGGACCAATAGAGTGCTTGGCCGAGACCGTGTCCACAATGAAGTCTAGAGTCCTTTTCCTCGCCTGTTACTCGAAATTGTCCAGAAACGCCCCAAAATCAAAAGTACGGTCTCCAGACTTGCGAGTCTTGCCTTATTAGTGGATGCTGCTACTACCCTAATGGTACAGAACTTTCTTTTCATTATTATTATTGTCTTTTTGAAGTGGAAAAGGCCTTTTGACTGCAAAGCTAGCTTTTACACGGTAGCAGGAAGCTACCTGGCTGGCTGTGCATCAGTTTTTTTTTTTTTTTAATCAATTATTTGATTTTTAAAATTAAAAAAAAACCATTATGACGCGGTGTGATGTGAATGTGATACATAAATATTACTATTTATATCTTTTCTATCATCCAATCGCTATTTGACAGAATTTGATTTATCTAAGTGGATCTGGACTGGTAATTCACAATATTTTAACTCCTAGAGAGCAGCATTTGTCTGCTACAGTACCCCATTATTTATTATTATTAATGGTATAAAATGTTCATCAGCACCAATAAAAAAAGAGAAGGAAGATGCTGCAATTTTTTGACTGGTACTCCCAGGGCAGGGCAGTCTCCAGAAATCAACAACAGAGCCAACAAACAAACCTGCATTAGTTTGGCATCCGTACTCAGGAGGAAATCATCTGCACCCAATCGTACTTTGGCCTCTTTTTCCTTGGAGGGAGATGTGCTAATGACAGTGACATGATGACCAAATGCCTTGGCAAATTTCACAGCCACATGCCCAAGACCTCCCAGACCAACCACCCCTATCTTTCTCGCAGCCGAGTCCGGCTCCAACAGATTGTGGTCTTTCATCGGGCAGTAGACTGTGATTCCGGCACACAACAATGGCGCCGCTGCGTCCATCGGCAAGCTATCCGGCACGCGCACCACATACCTATATGCACAAAAAATATATATATATATATATAGTACTGCAACTGATTTTTTGCTATTACTACGGGAGTAACATAAACAAGGACAAAGCAAAGCTATTATATTTGGTGGGGTTTGTAGTCGGCCGGCTCTTGTTTTTTTGTTCGGCTGTTGCGAGTATTAGTAGGAGTATTTCAGAAAGAAGAAGAAGAAGAAGAATGAGATTGACGATGTACCTCTGATCTGCGACCAGCATTTTGGAATAGCCGCCATAAGTGATGCTGCCGTCCCAAAATATGCCATTGTAAGTAAATTGAACCTCATCGCAGTAGTTCTCCTGGGAGTCCTTGCAAAACTCGCACTGCAAACAGGTTGCTGCCAAGCACCCCACCCCCACTTTGTCCCCCGTCTTGAATTTCCTCACGTTACTCCCCACCTTTGTAATGATCCCAGTAATTTCATGCCTAAAAATTTTCAATTTTTTTTTCCAATTGTCAAAAAATTGATGGATATCTTGCATACCATTTTTAAAAGAAACATCTATGTACACCCACCCGGGGACAACAGGGTACATGGTGATGCCCCAATCGTTCTTGACATGGTGTATGTCTGTATGGCACATCCCACAATACAAGATCTGGATTGTCACATCATCCGCTCCATTTTCTCTGCTCAAATGGCAAAAGCTTAATCGTCATCACCAACTTAGCTCATTAACTTTTCCAGTCAGGGTTAGCTCTATTTACATATGCTTGAGTAGTAATTAAACTAGCTCTATATCATTCCCAGGAAATGGAAAGATTAGTAAGTTGGATTATTATAAGCAACTTGTACAATCCCGACAAGGAGCAAAACAATGAGCAACATCAGAACATAAATCCACCACAAGTACTGGTAAAATAATGCATTAATTATACGGAAATAAAGTCGTTAACAGAGATGGGTTGACCTTCGCTTGAAGACGTAAGGAGTGATCTTGCCGGAAGAATCATGCGCTGCCCAGCCTGAAACAGTCTGAGTGTGGTTTGGAGTTGTTTGAGCCATGAAAGGAAGTCGGTGAGAGTTGTGAGAGCAGAGCAGGAGAAGGCCAGCAACTGGCAGTGGAAATGGTTGATCTTGTAGGGGTGGAGGATTCTGGGCACCGGGCAACTAAATATATAGAAATCCGCTGTGTACACAAGGTGCAATTCAAGCGGACAAACACTTCTTTTAGTTGTATATATTTATTTTTTGTTGGAAGGAGGTGGACCCAAAATTATGTCTTCTAAGGAGTGCTTTTTAGTTAGTTGGGAAGATGCGGTTACTGCTTGTGGCCTCCAACTTCTATTGGCTATTTATAGGGCTGATTGTAAGTCAAGCTGCTCGCAACAGTTTAGTTAATTACTCGGTTCAAATTTGATTTAATCAAGTTCAAACCCAAGTTCGACTAGTTCGAGCAGGGATGCAAGTCATGTTTCGAGTTTGACGAGTTACTCGTCGAGTATTTTTTTTAATTTAAATAATATTTTTAAATATAAAATTATCACTAAGGATTTCAAATAATTGACAAGATGATTTGCATACTTAATAAAATCCTTTAATAGCAAAAAGGTAATAGAATTTGAAGTAAATATAATTCAATTTCATTCTCAGGGTTTCAAGCTTAGATGCTCAAAAATGGGATCTAATCAAACTTCTATGCTTGAAAGCAGCGTCGAGGACTCAAGCTCAATATGGTTTGTTTTTTCTTTACTTGAGGCATATTGAGTTGAGTTCGAGCTTTTTTTAAAATTCACTAAGTCGAGTTCGATCTTTAACCAATGTTTTTTTTTTTATATTGAGTTTTTTTAACCAATGTTTCTATAGCGATTGCTTGAAAGTTGAGCGGAAATTTCCTATCAGATTAAAATCACAATGCCCATTAATTTGCTGCATGACATTTCCCGTCAACTCAATTTTGTTTGTTCGAATTGTCGTGCTCAAGTGCTTGAAGATTATTGGTTTTGACCTTTCTAAGATCTGATTTTTGTATTGAAGCCAAGGAAGCGGAGTCAAGTTTGAGAATAAAGATGTCAAGTAGACATGCAAATCCCTTTAATCCGATACTCTTATAAGTATTATATCTTGATTTCAATTTTGGTTGCAGGATGGTTATGTAAATGGGGAGAAATTTCACCGTCGGTCTTTGGAAGTTGCAAATTGAGACGCCGTGAGATTAAAAAGACCGTGTGAATTAAGCCAGGTGGCAAAAGTACGGTGGTGAGGGCGAGCAAGGGGGCCGAGGATCTCGTGTCATGTGTGAAGCGGCTGTATGTATCCAATCCATGGGCAGTTTAATAAGAGGCCAGTCATGCATGCTAATGAAGTAAGTAAACGCATGCAAGACAGAGAAAGAAAGAAAACGTGTGTTTGTCTGTTTGACTTGGTCTATTTCTAATTTGAACAATTGATGTGAGATATTTATAAAATTATGCTTTTTTTTTTTTTAGGATTCATTTTATATTACATCAATCAATCGTGCAGAAATATTATCATTATTGTTAGTTAGGTACATGACAACTGATCGGATTCCAAAAAAAGGGGAAATCAATATATCCAGCAATTGGTATTTTTTACTCTTTTTGAATCTATATACAAAACATGATAGAACAGCAATACTACTGTCATTTTATATTTGTCAAAATAATCAACAATGATATTTTTTTTTTTTTTTGGTCTAACCACCCGGTATCCCTTTCGGACTAATCCGGATTCGGTCCGGGGAGCGCCCGCAGAGTTTGACTCTTACTCGAGGATGAAAGCCTGACCCTGGAATTATCGCAGGAGCGCAGCGAGGATCGAACCTTGGTCGTCCTGCTCGCATAACAATGATATATTTGACATGAGCTGTTAACAAACAAGGGATTATATTCTTTTTGTTTCTTCTTAACTTCAAAAGTGGGAGACAAGTATTAAATCAAACTGATATTTAGAAATCATTTACAACTAAAATTATAAATCTACGGACCTAGTGGACATTTTCTATCAAATATATATATATATATATATATATATATATATATATGAGCGACGATAAGAAGATTGATTAGAACTTGGGCCTTTCCTGGACATTTATGAGCATAAGATTATTGGTTGGACTTTGGGGTCATATATCGTACCGCCGAAATTCATCTAATTTAGAAAATGTTTATTGGGCCTCTCTAGTTCCTAACTTCTAGGATTATTTACGACCGGACTCCCCCTATTCACTCCGTCCAAGATTGATGCACTATCGTCTAGTATTGTACTCCCTCCGTCCCACTTTGATAGTCTTGTTTTCCTTTTTCGTCTGTCCCAAATTGTAGTCCACTTTCCAATTGAAGAATGTAGTTGTATTTTAATTTTCCTAAAATACCCTTATTCAATATAAGTTGTTATTACTATAAACCTACCCCATTTAATGAAAGTTGATTCTTTTTTTACTATCAATTCAAGTTCCCATAAAATTGTACCATATTTAATGTGAGGGTATTTTAGAAAAATAGCAATCTAAATTTACTTTTCCAACAAAGTTAACTACTTTTACTTAAACTGTGTGAAAAAAGAAATAGGACTATCAAAGTGGGACGGAGGGAGTAATTTTCTAATTTAAGTAGGGAATCAGTAGTAAAATCATCATATTCATTTCCTAAATGGAGTTTATAATCATGTTCTATTTTCTAATTCCAAATTATAACTCGTCTGCAATTCTCACGTGTGAAAATTAAATATACATTGAAGAGATGTGACTTTTTTTTTTTTTTTTACTTTTTGTTAGTCTATCCCTTTCTTTGTTTCTTTTTTATATATATATATATTTTCCATTTACTCAAGTTGTAATGTTACATGAAAACTACTTAACTTTATATAAATATATATATATATATATATATCAATTCTATTCAATGCCACGTTATGGTGGTTTTACACGTATACTATGTCCAAATCTGAGAGAGAGGTTTAATACATGATGCATACAACAAAATCTACCATACTAATTTCCTACCAAAAAATCGCACACTAAATCTACTTTTGACAAAAGAAAAAAAAATTCAACTTAATTTGTCAAAAAAAAATCTTCATTAGTTACAAATTTGTACAACTAATTAATTTGGATTTACTTATCCTTGGTACATTAATTGTTAAGAAAAAATTTTATTTCTTTTTTACATCAATGTTTATTTTTTTTAATGCAAGTCCAGAATTACTAAATTATAAACTGCTTTGTTTGGTCTTTCCCAAAAGAAGAAAAAAAAACTGCCCTGTTTGGATTACCATTTTTTTTGAAAATGGTTCTTTTTGGATTAGTTGTTTTTGGGGTTATTTTTGAAATATTTTACTGCAACAATATATATGAAAAACTTTTATTATAAATATTTTTTTTGATATTTTTGGAATATATTTTAAAATAACTTTTAAAATAAAAATATTTTTATGATACTTTTTAAAAATTAATACTATCACTGTTAACCACTGCTGCTATCATCTCCGCTCACCATTGCCACTGCCACCACCTCTTCCCTCTTCTCCCTCGCTCTTCCTTCCCCCCCCCCTCTCACCCCTGGCCCTCCCCTCTCTCCTTGATTTGGTCGAGGCCTCTAATTGCAACCAGAGGCAGCAATTTGGCCGGGACCAAGGGAAAGAGAGGAGGGGGAAAGGAAGAGAGGAGGAAGATAGGTGGGATGGTGGGGTGGAGGTGATAAGTGAAAAATATTGTAAATTTTATTTTTAAAATTTTTATGTATATTTGTGAGTTGTTTTTTGATATATTATATGATTGGTATATTTTTTGAATTATTTTTATTTATGTATTACTGTAAAATTATATTGCATTTGAAAAACTAATTTTTAAAAAATGTTCTAAACCAATCGATTTCGTGAACCAATTTTCAATCAATTTTTTTACCTCTCATACATTAGATAGTTATAATATATTATCTTTTACAAAAATTTCAGAAAAATAACAATCCAAACGACTATACCTTTATGTCTTTTTTACATCAAATATTTAATTTGTAGGCAAGTTGGGATTTGCCGGATTTGCTAAATTATAAACCCAAGGGTGAAATGGTACGACGAGGGGAAAGGAGAGGGCTTTTTCGTAATTTCGAACCCCGCGTAGGCACGTCAATTCCTCGCCACCATGCCACAGGCCAAACTGCGCCAGCAAACCTAAAATTAGTAGAGAAAAAGGAAAAGAAACTGGGAAGACATACCACATTGTGATCACGCTTCCCACGGAAAACCCTAAATATTTTCTCTCTCATATCCTGCCTTCGTACTCTTCCTTCCTATATTTTGCATTTTTTTCTAAACTTCTTCTAATCAGTTGATGGCCGTGGATTCTGATGAGTCTTCCTCGACCCCGCGTAATCTATCTGGTCCTCCATGGGCACTAGTTGTTCGCCGTAGCGAGGTAGAATCAACCTCCTCTGCCGCTACCAATGCTTCTTGTCCGTCGTCATCGCCGCTGCCAATTGCACCGGAGCAAACACCTTTTTCTGATTGCTCCGGTCAGAAGCTCCCGCCTGAAAGTTCCGCTACTGAGACTCAGCCTGAGAGCTCCTCCGATAGTAGTAATGGCAATGCGGCTCGGTCAAAGAAGCCTGCTTGGAACAGACCCGTGAACGGTGTCGTTGAGGGTAGTTCTGTTATGGGCGGTTCTGTCTCTTGGCCTGCTCTTTCTGAGTCGACTCGGTCCACGATCAAATCATCCTTGGATTCCCCTAAACCTTTATCTGATGGATCAGCCTCGAGTTCTCAGGTTCTAACCCTTAATAACAAATAATCTTTGCACGCAGATTATAGTATTTAATATCTGTTTCAATGTCTGAATTTTTGGAGCTTTGTAGCCTTTTTTTTTTTAATTTCTGCTGATTTTGTTTTGATGCTTGTTTACTCGAATTGATTGTCTCCTTGATGAATGCGGAGAAAGATTTGTTTTTTAAGCTGTGAACATGAAAACATAATGTAAAACGTGCTTGTATTTGTTGCTGAGTAGGGACCTATAATTTCACAAACGCCTCAGAAACAAGCTAATACTAATGCAAACGCTAATTCTGTTGCAAACCATGGAATGACTCGCCAAAAATCAATGAAGCACCGTGGTGGTGGATCAACACAGGGGGGCTTTAGGCCACCACCACCTCCTCCTCCTTCGATGCCGCCGCCGTTTCCTGCTGTAATTGAGATGCCTG